TATGGTAGGTATGGTATGGTATGGTATGGTATGGTATGGTATGGTATGTATGGTATGGTATGGTATGGTATGGTATGGTATGGTATGGTATGGTATGGTATGGTATGGTATGGTATGGTATGGTATGGTATGGTATGGTATGGTATGGTATGGTATGGTATGGTATGGATATGGCATGGTATGGTGGTGGTGGTGTGGTGTGTGTGGTGTGGTGTGTGGTATGGTGTGATGCGGTGTGGTGTGGTGTGATCTGATGTGGTGTGGTGTGGTGTGGTGGTGTGGTATGGTGGGGTGTGGTAAGGTGGGGTGTATCGTACGGTGTGGTGTGGTGTGGTGTGGTGTGGTGTGGTGCGGCATGGTGGTGGTGTGGTGTGGGTGTGGCGTGGCGTGGCGTGGTGTGGTGTGGTGTGTGGTATGGTATGGTATGGTATGGTATGATATGGTATGGTATGGTATGGTATGGTATGGTATGGTATGGTGTGGTGTGGTGCGATGTAGTGTGGTGTGGTGTGGTGTGGTATGGTATGGTATGGTATGGTATGGTATGGTATGCTATGGTATGGTATGGTATGGTATGGTATGGTATGGTATGGTATGGTATGGTATGGTATGGTATGGTATGGTATTGTATGGTATGGTATGGTATGGTATGGTCTGGTGTGGTGTGGTGTGGTGTGGTGTGGTGGTGTGGTGTGATGTGGTGTGGTGTGGTGTGGTGTGGTTTGGTGTGGTGTGGTATGGTATGGTGTGGTGTAGTGTGGGGTGATGTGATGTGGTGTGGTGTGGTATGGTGGGGTGTATGGTATGGTGTGGTGTGGTGTGGTGTGGTATGGTATGATATGGTGTGGTGTGGTGGTGTGGTATGGTGGGGTGTGGTGTGCTGTGTGGTGTGGTGTGGTGGTGTGTTGTGGTGTGGTGAGGTGTATAGTATGGTATGGTGTGTTGTGGTGTGGTGTGGTGTGGTGTGGTGCGGCAGGGCGTGGCGTGGTGTGGTGTGGCGTGGCGTGGCGTGGTGTGTGGTATGGTATAGTATTGTGTGGTGTGGGTGGTGTGTGGTGTGGTGGTGTGTTGTGGTGTGGTATGGTGGGGTGTATAGTATGGTATGGTATGGTATGGTATGGTATGGTATGGTATGGTGTGGTGTGGTGTGGTGTGGCATGGCGTGGCATGGTGTGGTGTGGCGTGACGTGCGTGGTGTGTGGTATGGTATGGTATGGTATGGTATGGTGTAGTGTGGTGTGGTCTGGCGTGGTGTGTGGTATGGTATGGTATGGTATGGTATGGTATGGTATGGTATGGTGTGGTGTGGTGTGGTGTGGTGTGGTATGGCGTGGTGTGTGGTATGGTATTGTATGGTATGGTGTGGTATGGTGTCGTGTGGTGGTGTGGTGTGGTGCGGCGTGTCATGGTGGTGACATTTCCCATTTTTTTAGTTTTGTTACAAAAGTATCTGATTTTAATCTATATAGGCTCGGAGTTAAGTTGCTTTAATCATGACAACCTCGTGCCCACCAGAACTTTAAACGCGGGGACCCTGGGTACGAGGTTGTAATCATGAAAACTATAAACGCAATTGTATTCGTATGCTGGCGGTTACCAAACGTGCGTTACCAAAGCATTGTAATAAAAACGTGTTTAATATATTATTATTTCTGCGCCCTCGTCTAAGTGGGGATAAGGGAATATATTGTTGCCGGTATATCATTAACTAAAAAATACTGCTATTCTATACAACTTGGCCTGTATCTAGAGCCGATATCGCTTTTGAGCAAGAAATATTTTTTTCTGGCTCGGAAGGAAACTAAACACTGACCTTGTAGCAGAATATGTAGAATATATCTGGCTTGTTTAGGTTCATTGGAACGAAAACGCTTTGAAGCGACACAGGACTGAATTACTTTCTGTCCCGTTTGTCATAAATTGTGCTTTTTACTCCGCGATAAATTTTATCATTGATATGCATTGCAATTGTTATAGTCATTGAATATGTAAAGTATTTTTGAATCTGAATATATTGTTTTGAAGATACTTTAAAAAACATAAAAGGTCAAGTATTGCAGTTTCATCGACTTAATTGTTTACAATAAATTCTTATATACAAACATGCGGGTATATTTCTCGGAGCACAATTTATAATTGATATCCATATCGCGCGTTGCCGTTGTGCATATAGAATTGCGCTTGGCATGAAATGCAAGTTTGATTGTGATTCTGCTTGATCGCATACAGCGGTAAAAGTTTACGAGCCCTCCGTTTGCGAGAAATAGAATTGTTGTGATCCAACTACTGGGGGTTTCTTGAACACGCAATCTCTACGACATGCATGTTTAAAGACTGACTGTTGCGAGATTGCTCTAATTCTTACGTGATTCCTATAAAGGCACTCTCGGTTGATTCTGCAGAACCACAACGCACAAGCATATTTCGTTTAGTTTCTACATTAAAAGAAGGAAAGTCATATGTTAAAGTCGAGTTCGTGAAGTTATTCTTATAGTATGCACTTGAAATTTACATCAATCTGTAGAAAACTCTGACAAATGTTGCAAAAGTTTCTGGTTTACAAACTTCGCGCAATGTATAATTATATATTCTGTTAAAAACACAAGAATGAATATTCCGAAATATACAATCGTTTTATAACTCGAGTATAATGACATCAGAGTTAATGTTAGATTATTATTAATAAAATCTCTCGGTGAAGTGAGATTTATTTGTAAGTGTGCGAGTTAACTAGAAATAACGTTCAATGATAATGAGATAAAACGAGGGAGACCCGCTAACTTGAAAAAAAATCCAAAGTATTGTGACAGGTGTAATTTTTTTCTTCAGCTCGTTAAAAAGATCGCTATCTTACTCTGCTTCGTTCTTTAGTAAAAGTGAATGATTTATAAATGATAATAGACTCGTAAATATGTTGCTTAAACTATATTATATGCTTTTTCATTCGTATATTGGCGATTAAAAGGTTTGAGTTTTTCTTCGTAAACAGTTTAAGTTGTAATTCTGACGTAAAATAAACATTCGAGCGCTGCTACTCTTAAGAACGTGTCAAAGTAGGTTGTGGCTGAAAAAAAAAAATCCCAATTCGGCTGTGAGGGAAATTTAGGGTTTTTTGTCACAAAATTCTGGGTTGTTTTGGTTCATTAGAACGAAAAACATGAATCAATTCCAGAACTTAATACACATCCTGGTTGCAAAAAATTTGCGCGTTTTAGTCAACGATATGTTTTATCAACGATGAAAGTCATAATCATTGAAGTATGACAATATAAATTTTTATTATAAGGCAAGCGTCACTTCCGGTGAAATGGAAGTGATTGGCTGAGAACAATTTTCAGCGGTCCATTACTTTCCCATTACTTTTCCGTAATTTTCAGCTGTCCGTTACTTTCCCATTACTTTTCCGTAATGGACCGTTACTTTACCGTAATGGCCAGCGACCATGCATTACGAGATGAAAACACAGAAATTCTGAATAAAAAAGGCACAAAGAAATGCTCAAGAGAAAAATGAATTCCTTTTAATTCCAGACAGTTTAAGTAAAATGTTTTATCAAATGCTTACCAGGCTACTAATGCGAATTCATGCATTTATTGTTTTTTTCAAGTGCAAATACATGCCTTATGCCATATAATGATTTCTTATTAGCCTTGCTTGCTGGGTCTTTACCGAGAAATATCGGACCTCGATCTTTTTGTACTCTTCGAGCTCGGTCTATTCAAAAGACCTCGGTCCGATATTTCTCGGTAAAGACCTCGTGTTCGGTCAATAAAAAGTTATTATTTCATAAATGAACGGAGATACATATAAACGAGAGATATACGGAGCTTCATCTGATTGATTGCATTTTTTATTGGGGCGTTAACGGCACACCAAAGCAGCGTAGCTTTTTGAAAGGGGAGTTACATTAGTTCGAATCTAGTTCGAATTCTACTCGTTTGCATCGTCAGAATCAACGCTCTATTGTGTTTCAACAGTAATAGTATCCCGCTAGCATTGTATGCGACGCGTTGTAAACCATCTGGTTCAAATCTCATCACGGCGCGGCGATAAACGCGTCCTCAGCCAAAAAACATTGTCTATCGCGAACCTTCAATTCGCAATTGAACAATCTATAGCAATCGACGACCTAAAGAAGGCGCGTAGCAGCGCAAAGGCCAACGTAACGCGCAAAGTGAATCGGATTTCGCAGTCGATGATTTCAAGCGACAATGTTGACGTTGTCAAGGAAATGTCAACAGAATTACAACATGCTACAAGCGAATTTAAGGCTGCTCACGAGACATACAACAAACAATTGACGAATGAAGACGATTTGGGTCACTCTGCCAGCTATTTTCATACCGTGTTAGAACAAGTGCGCGCCATAGAAACACAAATGCAATCGTGGCTCAAACAACAATGCATTGCACTCAGCTAGCAACGTGGCATCGTATACCTCCTCGCGCGCTAAGTCTGAGACCAGCTCGGCAAGAAACTCAGCAAGCGCGAAAGCAAGAGCGACAGCCAAGATAGCAGCGCTTTAAGCTAAAGCTGCGTCTGTCCAAGAAAGGCAAGAGCTCGAACTCGAAGAACTTAAACTAAGTCAAAGAACTTAGGACTGAGTCAGCGGTCGCCGAAGCTGAACAAAGAGCCTACGAAGAAAGCGAAATCGAGGAAATACGCAGTCGTAATGGCAAAAGTGTTTTACATAGCTCGCCACCGGTCCAGCGCAAGTTAAACCTCGCCGATCAAGGACGCGAAAATGCTCCAAAGGTTTCTTCAAGTCCCGAAGCAAAGCCCGCTGCCGTAGACATGTCTGGACGTCAAGCACTCAACCCTGGAGCCCCCGAATGGCGCGCTGTTACGCCGCAGGGCTGCAAACGCTCGTACGTCAAAGACCTTTCTCAATTGGATAAGTTCCGCGAGGAATCGTTTCAAGCGCTAATGACGACGCAAGAACTTCAAGATGGGGTGCTACAGCAGCTGGTCGAAGAGCAACAAGAAAGCGTAATGGCGCTTACCTTACCACGACCCAGTTTGCAGACGTTTAACGGCGATCCCTTAGGTTACTGCGACTTTTTGCGTGCGTTTGAACATCTGGTAGAGCGCAAGGCAAACGACCCCAGCGCAAGACTCTACTTTTTAGTGCAGCACACTTCCGGAAGTGTGGAGGAATTGATGCGAAGTTTTCTGCCCATGCAGCCAGAGGAGGGATATAGAGAAGCGCGACGCTTGCTTAAGGAGCGATACGGTCAGAAATACAAGATCGCCGCCGCGCACGCACAGAAACTCATCGACGGGACCCCCATCAGAACAGAGGACGGCGAGGAGCTGCAGAGATTCTCCATCCAGCTGGTGAGTTGCACCAACACATTGAAGGAAATTGGTTATATAGGGAAACTGGACAATCCAGAAAACCTAAAGAAAATCGTCAATCGATGCCGTAGAAGAAAGGAGACGTAGAAGAAAGGAAACCAGTCAAGAGAGCGTAGCCGACGGAAACAGTACGCCGGCAGATGAGAACCCTACACAAGCATATCGTTTGTACGTTCGAATGTCGACCAAACCCAACGCGCTAAGGTAAGATTCTGCGACAGCGCTGGCCATCGTTCCTGTCCGCGTCAAGGCATCTGGCCATGGTGCATCTAAGACGGTGGAAACGAATGCGTTCTTGAATTCGGGCTCGAATACATCATTCTGCACCGAAGCCCTGCTCGACCAACTCGACCTTCAAGGCCGCAAGACGAGTCTGTCGCTGACGACGATACAAGGTAAAAACTCGCTCGTGCAGTGCTCCCAGGTGAGTCTTGAAGTGTCTTCACTGGATTCAGCAGCACAGCTCGTTAATATGCCAGTGGTGTATTCACGACCATCTCTACCGATCTCCCGCGACGCCATCAGTAACCAGGAAGATGTAAACCGCTGGCCACATCTTGAAGGATTATCCTTGCCAAAGATCGACACCGAAATCGGCCTGCTTATTGGAAGCGACGTCCCCGAAGCAATACAACCAATGGAAGTACGACAAAGTGAGAGCGGATGACCTTTCGCGATTCGGACCATCCTAGGATTGGTACTCAATGGCCCTCTTGGTAGAGGAAAGAACACGTCAGCTACGTCCAATTTTTTGCAGAGCACTGCTCGTCTTGTTCGTGTCTTGACAAGATTTCGCGAGGAGCGCGTGGCTATGATGTCGGATGTCGAGGCCATGTTCTACAAAGTCCGTGTCCCTCCTGAAGATCGTAAGGCTCTGAAATTTCTGTGGTGGCCGGATGGCGACCTGGATCAACCAGTGCAGGAGTACGAAATGAACGTACACCTATTTGGAGGTGCCTCATCGCCCAGCTGCGCAAACTTTGCCCTGCGGGGAACCCCCCAAGATAACAAGGCCGAATTCGACCCAAAAACAACCGAAAATGTCGAAAGAAACTTCTACGTTGATGACTGCTTGAAGTCCGTTCAAACAGATCCGGAAGCGGTGAGATTGGCAAACCAACTGCGGGGATTGTTGGCACGGGGAAGATTCAGATTAACGAAGTGGACGTCCAACTCTAAAGCCGTGCTGGAGTCACTACCAGAATCAGAAAGATCGGAGCAAGTCAAGGACATGAAATTGGACAAATCTCCTATTCAGCGAGCCCTGGGTGTTCGTTGGAACGTATCATCAGATAAATTCGGTTTCAGTATTGTAGTGAAAGACCGCCCGCAACCAGACGAGGCATTTTGTCCGTGGTCAGTTCCATTTTCGATCCGCTGGGATTTGTCGCTTCGTTTATTCCTAAGGCGAAACAAAGCCTGCAGGACTTATGCCGCTTGAAGCTCCGTTGGGACAACCCAATCCCAGACGAATACCTGGCTCGTTGGCTATCGTGGTTGAAGGAACTGGCGAAGCTCGTGGATGTGCAAATAGATCGGTTTCTCAAGCCTACCAATGACAGTTCGTTCCAACTGCATCATTTCTCTGATGCGTCGCAAGACGGCTAAGAAGCCGCCATCTACCTACGTGTAGAAGATGAGGCCGGCAATATCAAGTGTTCGTTTGTAATAGGGAAGTCCCGTTTAGCACCAATCAAACAATTCACGATATCGTTTTTCTGGACCGACAACACCTGTGTCCTACGCTACCTACAGAACAAGGATAAACGATTTCAGACCTTCGTTTCCAATAGAATTTCTACGATACTTGATGCATCTTCTACTTCCCAGTGGCATTACGTCAACACCCTTGCCAATCCAGCCGACGTCGCATCTCGGGCGTGCCCGCGACATTACTCCAGCGATGGATACACGGGCCGGATTTCTTGAGCAAGCCAAGGGCCGCTTGGCCACAGCCACCCAGTGATCTGAGCTTGGTCATTGGCGACAACGACCCCGAAGTCAAGCGACAATCCGCCACGTACACGAACAAAGTTTCAAATCTGCATCCCTTTGCAAAGTTAGTCAAGAATTTCTCTTCTTGGAGTGGGCTGAAGAAAGTCCTAGCGGTGGTTTTGCGCTACCAGGCGATGCTGAAACGTCGCGTAATCCAGAAGAAGTTAAATCCTGCTGAAGCGATCGGGTTTTCAAAGTCCATCACGCCTATTTCTGTGTCCGAAATGGTCAACGCTGAGAAAGAAATAATTCGACATGTACAGCAAGAATGTTTTAGCGAAGAACGAGAATGCCTAGAAAGAATAAACGAAAGTAGCGATAAAGATCGCAAGAACGTAACGGTTAAGAAATCGAGCTGCGTGTTCCAGCTGGATACAGTATTAAAGGATGGGTTGATACGTGTCGGCGGAAGACTGCGGAGAGCACCAATAAATGACAACGCTAAACACCCTATCATCCTCCTGAAGACCACCATGTTATTGGACTCCTTGTATACCATTACCACCACATCGCGGGTCATTCCGGCGTCGAGCACACGCTTTCCCTGATCAGAGAAGGTATTGGATCGTAGACGGAAGATCAGCCGTGAAGAAGGTCATCGGCAAGTGCTTCAGCTGTAGGAAACGTCAGTCAACAGTATGTAATCAAAAGATGGCCGACCTGCCTGAAGACCGGGTAACGCCCTCGCTGCCACCGTTTACGTATACAGGCGTCGACTGCTTCGGACCGTTCGAGGTAAAACATGCGAGAAGTCGTGTCAAGCGGTACGGCGTGCTCTTCACTTGTATGACAACACGAGTGATCCATCTAGAAGTGGCCCACACGTTGGACACCGACTCTTTCATCGACGCTCTCCGACGATTCGTGGCAAGACGAGGTCAACCTATGGAGATCCGCTCGGACAACGGAGGAAACTTCGTCAAGGGTGAACAAGTGCTAAGAGAAGCCATTGACGAATGGAATCAAGAACAGATCCACGACTTCCTGCTTCAGTGAAATGTCAAGTGGACCTTCAATCCACCCGCTGGATCTCACTTTGGTGGAGTGTGGGAGAGGTGCATGGTGAACAGCAGACCAATCACTAAGCTGTCAGATGATCTACGGGACGAAGAACCACTCACCTCAAACCACCTGCTTCTATTACGTCACCAGCCCGCCATTCCTCCCGGCGTTTTTCTGGAAAGGAAGACAATCAGAGCCGAAGAAGATGGCGTCAAGTGCAATATCTGTGCAACCTGTTCTGGAGTCGTTGGGTAAGGGAGTATCTCCCCTTACTGCAGAAAAGACAAAAGTGGAACGCTTCGAAGAGGAACGTGGCAGTCAACGACATCGTCATGGTGCTAAACGACAGCAAACCAAGAGGAGTATGGCCCTTAGCTCGGATGTTGGAAGTGTACCGCAACGAGCGTGACGGACTGGTACGATCCGTGAAACTGAAGACAAGCAGCAACGAGTTGGTGAGGCCTGTAAACAAGATCGTCCTCCTAGAAGAAGCTGCCTGATGTTGGTATGAGATCATGATAAACATTATCATTAGAACTAACGCTTTATTCATTTACTTATTTAGTTATTGACATTATTTCGTGTTTCAAACCATTTAAAAAAGGTATTGTAAAGGCTCCTTTAAAGGGCCGGTATGTTGGTTTGAAACCTTAACTTTGTTATTGTTATCGTATGTCGTTAATTTCCGTTTCGTTACTTCCTGCGACTACACGCGCAGTTGCACCCAGTTTAATGTTTCATTTTATATATCACTGTCAACTAGAGTAAGGTCACTCTATTCTACAATTGGTTACTTACGTTTATGTTTGAACTCTATCGACGGTATTCAACAGCAGTTTGGTGTGTGCGCCAACTAAAGTAAGGGGCTGTTTACATGAGCCCGGTTACCCGAGATTCAACGAAGCGTGAGAGGCCTTTGAGGTATTGAAATAAGTCTTTATGACACCAAACAAGTACATGCTATTGTTGTGGTGATTATACGACTGCCAGAATCATGTTATCTGCTCATTTCAATACCTCAAAATCATCTCACGCTTCGTTGAATTTTGGGTATCTGGGCTCATGTAAACAGCCTCTAAGACTTTTCTTTGGGTTATTATAATTTGTAAACATAGCTACGTTAGTTGATTTATTCTATATTTAGTGCATGCCTGCTATAGTATTTAATTTGTCTAGATTGCATGAATTAGTGCGGTTTAATTATTGCATTTTTAGTTCGAACGTTACCCAGTATATTTCTATTCCGCGATCACTCTATCCAATATTCCGTTACCGGATCGATCAGCCGACACCGCAGAAATTGGTGTTTAAGACGTTTCAACCCGAAAATCTAATCGCTGGTTCACAATTGTGCATTTCTGTATCGCCCTATCAAAGAGAAACCTTTTGAATATCTTAAAAAAAGTTCAATTTTTCTTCTGAATACGCATTCCGCAATCTTTTGACAGCTCATCATGCACATCTGACCGCTGTGAAATGGCCATTTTGAGGCTTAAAGTATACACAAGGTTATTAATTCAGACGATTCGTTTTTACCCTGAGCAAGCTTCAAATCTTTTGTGCAAGACATATTTTCTTGAATATTTATAAATCTTTTTCCTCACCAAGTTTGAAGTCTAAGTATCGAGAATTGCGGCTAAGCCTATACCAATTTCCGCGGTGTCCGATCAGCCACCATACCTTCAACCGCACAGTATTATAAGCTTTATCATTAAAGATACATTTTATAACCATTATCCGCGCACGTGTTACTCTATCATCGTGGTTAGTGAATTTAGTGGAGTTCAATTGTGCCGTTAACAGCACACCAAAGTAGCGTAGCTCTTAGAAGAATTTGGGAGTTACAAAGTATACATTAACGTGGTTTGATAGGAAACGTTTGACAAAATTCAATTATAAGTTGCTATATGTCAGCCGGCCAACGAATAGAAATTGTCGGCGCTTTCACAAGTTTATATATCGCCAGGTTTTTTAAAATTTGTGCGTGTTTTTGCAAAAGATCGATAGACTATAATCATTATTTTGACCAATGCCAAAATTACATTTCTCACGTTTGGAACGCTAAGAATCTCTCCAGGAGAGAATGTATAAGAGGTATTACAATGCAACGCGCAAAGCAAAATCGTGATTTTCCCTCCTGGGGCCAGTTGTATAAAATTAGCCAATCAGTCTGAATCAGAGTCATGTATTTCGGAGTTATTTTGGATTTAAGTATGCAAAGTGTAATTTAGGTATAGTTTTATGCAACCGACCTCCGATGTATAGATTGGTAGTGCTCAGTGCTTGCTCGCTCGCTGCACCAGCAAATGGAAAGCATCGTTTCAAGGATACTTTAAAAAGCATAAAAAATCAAGATATGGAGCTTCATTGACTTAATCAATCGTGTAAGTTACGTATGCATCACTATGCACGCAGCTACATTTCTCGAAGCCTAATTTATGCATCGTGATGCATACGTAATTTACACGCGTTCAAATCCTGGTGCTTTGCAAAAAAGTGTCGAGGTTTGATTGTGTTTCTGCATGCTGCAGAGCGGTTAAAGATTACGAGCGCCTATATATTACCCAACATTTCGTCTGAATTTTTTCCAATGAGGCGTTTTACAAAAACAAAATACTTGTGATATTATCCCAGCGCATTTACTCTTAGGAAAGCGGCTAAGTAAAGGTTTAACTGCACGCACATCTCCAAATACACTTGGTATTTAAAAGCCGGTAAAGTTAAGCTCGTACACACGCTACTCGCGAGTCGTGCTATTTCTCGCGGTCCGTACTGTAAGGATTAATTTGACACTTCTCATGTATTGGTAGGCTAACTTTCGTTCAGAACAAGATACATGCAGGTTTGGCAAAAATGTAGTTATTTATATCCCAACTGACCAGCTTCGTGAAGTTAAGATTGCGAAACAGAGAGAAGTCACGCACTTGAGCCAAAAGAGCAAATCCTCATCGCTTTAAATATTCTGCTTCTGGTAGTTTGTGACAAGTCATTGGTAAAACATTAGCTTTTGACAAGTGAACAGTATCTGGAGTTGTTAAGGATATAAGTTTGCAATGAAACAGGAGACATTATTAAAAAGTTACAGCCGTACCCGACTCATAGACATAGTTGACGGAGTCATCTAAATAGGGTTGAAGAAAGACTACTATTATATAACATGTACAGTGTCATGTCCTCTAGCAAAGATTCCCATTCATTGTATCGACTGTATTGATCTCGCCGGAAGCGAAATGAATTGTTTTCTATTTCCGCAAATTTTTCATTAATTATCGTTGTATTTGGAATGCGACCAAGAAAACAACTCAAAATTGTGGATCTTGTATAATTCTCTGACATACTTCGTTTCTTTACAAGAAATCGGACTAATTGCTAACGCAGCTAAATGTGTGTAATATGGATATGTGTCACTGGATGCATGTTGAACATTGCGAATGATTGTTCTCAAATAAATGTTGCTTCGTGTATTAGAAGTACCTCCAAAAAATATTTTAATGGAATATATTAATTAATGTTTCTGTTGAACTACGTAAATGGATGGTCAAAATAATTTGAACCAAATTTCTGCATCAAAGCGATGGCGCTATGGTGTTTCATATTGTTTTCTTTCCGTACGACAGACCAGGCTTGTCATAACAAACGATGCCCAATTACAACGTCGAATTCGCGTTCTTCTGCCGCAGGCTCAGAGATTATTTACTAAAAACAATCTGCATCACTGGGGGGAGGGAAGAGTTATTGATTTTTTGAAAGGAGGAATCTAACTGCGAGTGTGATGGCGATTATAATAGTGCTGGTGGAATTGCAGCTGCCATTTGTTAACCGTCAATTTTTCTATTCTATTCATTTGTTCAGATCTAATTATCTGGCAAAATAAACAGAAATGATGGAAATGCCTTTCGTTTCAACCAAAATGTTGTTTGCTTTAACGATCTTGATTTACTTTGGTGGAAATCTGATCAATTGCAATGAAGATATTCCCATTTGTGACGAGCAATTAAAACAACTGAAAGAAGACGTGAAAGACTGGGAAAAGAGATGCGTGAATGAAAGTCTGGAAAACTTGGATGAAATTGAACGATATTTTACTGAAAGTCAACGATCTGACAATGAAACTCAACGATATTTCAATGAACGTCGGGGAGAGAATAATTCCCCTGGTTGCACCGCAGAAAAAGAATATCTCCAGGAGAGAATGCGTATGCAGTCAGAGATGTGCTTCTATGACGGTAAGCTAAACGATTCTTTGATTTTTGTATTATAGGTGTATGTCTCTTCTTTTCGTATTATGTTAAAAGAACGACTGCCATCAGTCATTCAGTCTTTACCTACCAACTATACATGCAGTCGTATTAAAATTAGAACATTTTATAACTTCTTCGACTTGTAATTACACCCACTGTATTTTTCATTTTCGGTAACCATTTTGCTTTATCTCATGACTTATCTCACCCAAGCTGCATGTGTAGAAGCAAAATCTTTGTGTACAAGCGAAGCTTGTAGTTAACGCCTCTGTAGTTGTCTGAACGCTTTACGGGATTCGCTGAACGGGGATGGTATATGATGTGTAATTTCATGCATTGTCCTTTGGAACTGGCGTCAAAGAGCGTAAATGAACAAAATTTCGTCATGTTCAATATTTGCTGTTCATGATCTGGTCATAAAACTCATAAATAGTATTAGAGGGACTCAAGGTTTTTGATGCCGTTGGCCAGGGAGTGCAAAAACATTGGGGCGAGCGCGATTTTCCATACAAATCTATAATGAGTGAGGGAAATTTACATTTGCGGATTTTGCTTGATTTATCCAAAACAATTAAAAAATTGCCAGTGGCGTAGGAAGGGGGGGGCACTGGGGGCACGTGCCCCCCCAAGATTTTTCAAGAGACCAAAAGTGCCCTTCTTGGAAGTGAAAAGAAACAAAAAAGTATTTACTATTTCCCAATAATCCTTAAATTGAGAGGGATTTGCGGCCATTTCAGAGGCCTATATCTCAAAATTTTCTCGGGGGAGCATGCCCCCGGACCCCCCTAGCAGTACGAAGCCCAAGAAATACGAAAAATGCTCTGCGGTCGGCGGTCCTTGAATCGAACCTTCCCTATATATATATTTTTATTAACCATTTTAACCGCCATTTTTATTAACCAAAAGTGCCCCTAGAAGCTGGTGCCCCCCCAACCTTTGGATGCTTCCTACGCCTTTGAAAATTGCTCAATTTGAAAGATAAATGGGTCTTTTGTTGGTATGCCGCGGGAAGTATATGTGAAATTTTGCGACTTTGTCGAGGTGTTTTTGCGAGCTTTTTCGGCCTGGATATACACAAACACCATCTATTAAGGTGGTCCACTACAAATTGTGATTGTGGTACTTGTATAGAATCATTACTATGCAATATTGTGTTGTCCTTATGACACATTTAAATCTTAACTTAATGATCCGAACAAGAAACATTGCCAAATAAACTTAATTACCCAATGTTGAATTGAAATACTAAATACAGTTTTGATTTTAAAATGATCATGTGAACTTTCCCAACCTATAAGATGCTAAAAGAATAAATATGGGAGCTTTCGAATGTAACAATTACAATGAAAGATTGATAATGAAACTAAAGATGAAGTTTTACATTTTTTTAAGAATATTTGTATTTGTATGCAGTGTGCTTGTATGTATAGATTAGAAGGAGTAATGAACAGTCATTGTTATGAAAAATTTACAAAAAGAGTTGTAATAATAATTTGGAATAATTTTACCATACATAAAAGTAACATGAAAATGGGTTATCAAATGTTTCCATAGTGGTCCTTATGGTAAAATTGAATTCAATAACACACAGATGGTATATTTGCTGCAAATTAGGTACTGCAATATAAGGCATGGTCAAGCCATTATAGTTATCAAGGTTCCTCAACAACTTCATGGTCAAGGATGTGTTTAGAGCAGATGAACAGAAATATTTTAGCAACTCAAGCATTGCTTTATTTCCAACTTCAAGTTGAATCTACAATGTCAGAAGGGTATTGCACAGAAGATATTATTAATTTGGAACATTTGGTAACAATAAACATCACTATCATTGAAGTAACAATAAACAATACTATCATGACTCTACCTTTAATAGAATGAAAACAAACAAATTGGCTTCATATAATATATTGGTATCAAGAGGTATTCAACAGAATAGCTGTTTTAAAATTATGTGTTGGCTTGATATCTATCAGTATCAACAGGTATTCAACAGAATAGCTGTTTTAAAATTATGTGTTGGCTATGATCTCGACATGTCTTGGGTCCACAAAACATAATGTTTCCTTTGTTCGCAGTAAATAAGTGTTAATTATTTTATTGTTATTAAGTGTACATGGTGTAAATTGCCCAGCCATGCTTTTTACCTAAGAATTTAAAATAAGTTTGCCTCAACTATATATGATTAAATCAAGCATTAGGCTATAACTATAGGTTAATACTAATTAATGCCTAATCTTATTAATACTGTACGCATGGTTTAGTCAGAACCAGAGTCTGTCTAAACAATCGCAAGCACACAGGATTGTAACCTTAAACTTATTTGGCTGTATATTCTCTTGAGTATATTAAAAAAGTCTTCCAAGTAACCAGCTATGAACTGAAAAATGACAGTATGACAACAGGCGAAAGAGATTTAATTTAACAGTGTTAGTTCACCTCACGAGCTATCAAGTTACATATTATCTTTCCCATATCATAGATCTTCGTATTTTGGTTAAAATTTTCCCATTTTAGTGTTTTATCGACACAAAAATCGAGTTAATAGATGGTGATTGTCTATATCCAGGGGTGCAAACAGCTCGCAAAAACACATCAAGAAAGGCGCAAATTTTAAAACTTACCAGTCTCTGATTCACAAATACTTCCAGCCACATATCAACAAAAACCCATTTATCCTCAATAATGTTTGAAATTGAGCAATTTTTTAATTGTTTTGGATAAATCGAGCAAAATGCGCAAATGTAAATTTCCCTCACTCATTATAGATTTGTATGGAAATCACGCTGGCCGCGCGCTCGCCCCAATGTTTTTGACAAATAAATTTGGATCGAATTTTAAAATTTATCCAGCGAACAATCACAGAAATCACCACATTTCTGCATTAGTTTTTTTCGTTTATAACTATGCAAACCTGTACATTAATACGCAGTATTTGACTTCAGCTGTAATTTTTTTCAAGGACCTTATCCTGAGCAATATATGTTCTTGGCGAACGACACTGCAATCTTGGCTGTCGATTTAACGACGCTAGATGAAACAGTCGTCGTAGATGGAAAAGGAAGTATATATACGCTGGACATTGACATGAAAAATAAGAAAATATATTTTGCGGAATGGAGGAAAGAGATTCGTCGGGTAAATTATGATGGAACTTCTGAAGAAATCGTTGTGAAGGATGCTAAGACACGGGGATTAACAATTGATTGGATAGGACGTCGTATATTCTGGAGTGATGACTGGAAGAATATCATTAACGTGGCGACTTTAGATGGTAAAGACAGCAGAACGCTGATTAAAACTCCCAGGCCTCGGGATATAGCAATTGACCCCATCGAAGGGTGAGTGTTTCATAAATCGAGAAGTAATCGCAACAAGAGCTAATTATTGAGTTCAATTTAAGAAAAATATTATAAGCATAAAGTCAGATTTGTAAGAAAGATTTTTGCGACGTTAGTAAATATATTTTTCGGATTTTGTTTTTTTCGATTTGTTTTGATTTTTGAACATGAATTCGTTCTTCCTGATTATTGTTCAGTTTTCATGACTTGTCAGATGCTTTTTCACATTGCCGAACCTGCCTTAACGGGTAAAATAAATCCTTCATATCCGTTCTTCAGTGCATGCTATGTAGATGATAATTTTAATTTACAGTTTGATTCAGCTCATAACTCTACCTATTGAAGTGCTGTAAAAACACTGTAAAAACAGATGGGTCAAAATGACCTATTAGCAATTGTCGTTCTAACTCATACTTTAAGTTAAAATAACCACACAAAAAGGGTTGTTATTAATTGGATGCATGTGGGACAAATTGGTAATTTTAACGGAAAATGATTGGCGAAAAAGACCTTTCAGATTGCAGCCACAAAAAATCTCACAATGCTAATCAAATATACATATACTGCATGTATTAATATACACCATTATTTCATCCAAGAAAATATTCTCAATTAGATTTTTCAACTCCAATGGCTAGAAGTCAATATTCTACAACTAGAAACAATTCTCACTGTGTTAAGTCCACATTCTCTCTATATATTCTGCATTAAATTTATGATATGCAGACAGCCAACAAGTCATTGTATTATTCAAAATGTTCATACTTATAACTTAGCAATAAATACTAGCTCCTTCTGTCATGCATCAGCATCATTGAATTGATGTTAACCAATGTTGTTGATGCACATTTTTCAGTCTTCTCTTTAAAACATCCTGCTACTTTGTTATCTCTGGGAAAAAATTATAGAGACTTTAAGAACTATAATTACAACTTTTAAACCCACAATGACACAGTATTTGAGTTCTTAAATTCTTTTATTTGGAAAAATTATCTCCTGGAAAAGAAATATTTTATAGCTTTACATAATGTATACATGGCATGAACAAAAAAATTATCACAAAATGCATGTACTTACATTTACAGTATCCAAAACTAAAGCCCCAGTTCGACTTCAAGTTGTTTTTTCCTTGTATACCAAGCACATGTATGATGATCATCTGTTCCCTTTCTCTATGAAATATAATAATGATGATTTATTAAAAGTATTTCCATGTATGTGGCTCTTCGCCTTCTGAAACTAACTATTTACTGTTTAAGCAGTACAATATGCTGGATTATCGATCAACAAAGATTCCCTTATTCAAGGCAGGCTTTAGCTTTTGCAGGCAAGTCAGTTTTAACTGCATTCACAAACATTGAGAAACATGATGTTCAATTTTTCTAATGTCAATAGCAAGCCGATTAAAAGTCTCTTGGAGCCATATCATGAAAGGTGCCACGTTCCTTAATTGAAATATAAATTAGAGGAGCCGCAGCAGATGTTAAATTGTAAGTATTAACAACATAAAGTTGCAATTTAGGATTCTCAGATATGATCACATTATGCAATGATATATGAACAAGCTTGAGAAGATTTAACTCTCTTCTTTTATACACAGGCAACCATGTTAATATAAGAACTTATTTGTATTTACATATTTACCAAGTACAAAAGCTTCACATGCATTCTGCAAACATTGTAGATGTTTTACCTGGTAATCAGGCAAGAGGGTGGGAACCATTATAACTTAACGTCAGTTGCTTCTCATTAATACAATTAATTAGTAATCATATCAACATACCTAAAATAACCATTTTTCCTACTAGATCACTGGACATAAAACAGGAATATGGCAATAATTGATTAATATTTTCTCATTAGTAGAGGTTATTGAAGTGTCTGCAAACATAATTGAAATGTATCGCCACTTGCAGAATATACTAGAAAGATAACACACCTTTTCCATCCTCAGTGACTTACTTTTTCAAATAATTTACAATCATATGTCAGTTGTCAAGGATTCTTGAGTCGTGTTTGCTAACTCTGCTTTTAACTAAAAACAGTAATTTATGTTGTAATATATTTCTCATAAGTAACAAATAATTCTTGACAACTTAATGGTGGGCCCAACAAGGTTTCAGATACAGAATTTAAACATATGCATGGTATGCATTAGAATTTAAACATATGCCTATGGTTGAATTGAAGTGCAGTAACATTTCAACAATCACCAAAGTGCTAAGGATTATACTCTTGTCAGATCATATGGGCCGTTGTGAGATTTAAATCATTTGATCGGAAGCGATAGAAGACAACAGACCAATCGTGTAATACCAAAGTGTGAGCAAGCCACTGGACTGAATATTGATGCACTAAATTAAAAAAAAACATGTCTGCTAGAAATTATTTAACTTAAACCGTCATCTTACCTGCATTTGTTTTATAGTATGTATCGTTATGTACAAGCAGAAACAAGCCTGTATTATCAGTAAATAATCTTCTAGAGGAAAGGATATAATCTTCCGGGAACATATCTATATATAGAAAATCATTAATAGCATATGTGTAGCATGGACATACTTTCGAATTTATCGATCAAATCGTTCAGATTTTTTTACTTTAAGACAGCGATGAGGTCTTCATATAATGATTTTTTAGTAATATCAACGACAAATGATAATTCGAGTGTTTTATGAGGTAATAAATTGAAAATTAAACGAGATTTACCTTAAGTTGAAGTTTGATGATAATTCTACCAAACCGTAGTTACGTACTTCCGGCTAGCATGAGACTTTAACAATTGTGGACACAGCCTATAAAAGTGCAAAACTCGGACATTCTATTGTAACACAGAATTTTGAATACATTATCATCAATAATAGGTTTGTTATAGCATCTCCGAAACACAGAGACCGATGAAAAACGCAGATGCTTTAGGACCACGTGATTTCACCAAAGAAATTAGTAATTTTGTAGATTTGGGCTTCCTTAGCTTCAAAGTTCTACTCAAATAAGTCCCACTCAAATAAGTAAGATGTAAAGTGCATTCTAATGCCGCGTTCAATTCTCGTGAAAGTTAATCAGCAACAGTATTTTGTTTGCCTGGGCTCGGAGTGAACGTGACCGATAACCAATTATTGCGAGCTATCATGGCCCATAGGCAAATATCTTTACTAACATTGTCACACTCTATAGATTTGAAATTTTTGCATCCTCCCGTTTTATTTAAATATGTAACGTCTGTTGTATTATCTGATTGAATTCGGATATGCGTTTCACAGGTGCTATCAAGAAGTGATGTTAACACAAACTTTATCGCCAGAAGTTCTAAAACGTTAATATGAATTTCATTTCGTGTGCAGACCACAGCCCTTGTGTCCTAGTTTCGTTAACAACGGCTCCCCCACCTATATGTGAGGCATCAGTTGTCTTACTCAAATGAGCCGGGATACCATGATCAATAATCCTAGATGCAGTTGGTAGGGAAGATACCAAGCACTTAATTTCATTAATACTGGCCTGTGATAGACACCATAATTTTTGTTCAAAATCCCCATGTGAGTGTCATAATGCTAAGGTCTTATCACGCTCTAGTGCTATATAGTTTAACGCTACAAATCCAACTCCAGGGAATGTAGAGACAAGATCCAATAATAGAAGGTAACTGTCGAATGGTAACTTCATGAAACTTTGATAATTATACACAAGAGCAGTAATTTTATAATTTTCTTCGCCGTGAGCAAAACAGTCAATGTAGTGGAGTTTAATAAAAATCCCGAAAATTCCAAAGTTTGCGTTGGTTGAAATACCGACTTAGAATGATCTGGTACAAACCCTAGTTAGTCAAATAACTGACCTGCATTAAAAGTAACATCTTTGGGCAACCGGAGGGAATCTTCAATGTAAATGGAGTCATGAATGTAACCGAGACAAGAGTGACCAAATTTTGATTACAGTGTGTTCGACAGTCGCATCGCTGAAGCAGTAAATTGATAAAGTTTCCCTCTCCAAGATAATTTAAGGTATTTTCTATCGGACGGTATTATGGGAACAGAATAGTAAGCGTGGCGTAAATCAATAGCGGTCATGAAACAGCCAGGTTTCGTGAGTTTGAAAGCTATTTCCAAAGTGTCCATTTTGAACTTGCGTCAAGTGACAGCCTCATTAAGTCTTTTAAGGTTAAAAATCACTCGAAATTTTCCTGGCTCCTTTTTAGGCCGAATAAAAATTGGGGAAAAACCCCACCACTCTCAGAAGGCGTTTCCTGAATTATGTTTTCAGATAAAAAATCAATAACTTCTTTATCAATAGCTTGTTGTTCAGGAATAAAAAATTTGTATTCCGGATTAAAACTTGTTGGTGAGGTGTCGTAATCAAATTCAACTTTACAACTGCTTACAAAAACTTAAGACAAATGCATCTGACGTAATTCCTTGCCATTGCCCAGCTACAAACGCTAGCTGTTCAGAAAACAATTCAGTTATTATAGCGAAAGTATTGATCTGTGGGGAGCGAGTGGAATTAACTCTGATTCGGCTTGTTCTGGGTGGAACTGAACTTCGCGTCTGGTCTTCGCTGATACGAGCCTCTGTCGCCGAAAAAAGACTGAAGGGTAGAAAGTCGTTGATTGTAATTATTTCCGCTGTTGCCTCTCATTGAGGTTGTACGACCTGTTCCTCTCGCTAAAAATGACGGGTAAGGGTGAAATCTCTGTCCACGCCCCCTACGGGAACCAGAGAGTTTTGTTCGGAGTTTATTAGCATTAGCGACTTCATCAATTTCTTTATCAACATCATCCCCAAACAAGATTCAACTCTCTGTTGCCAGAAAAAGCGAAAACAAGGGCATAACTTATCCCGTTGTTTTATCGCAAGTTTGAGTAATAACATAAATTGAGGAGATAAAATAATAATATTTGGCACTTTTTCATGGAACTGTCCGCTGTTCGGGTGGCTTGTTTAAGTTGCTGCCAGACAACCTTGTTGACTTTTGCAGCGACGAGTGAATCGTAATTTTCAGGTCGCAGATACTTTTGAGCTCTTCCAATTTAGCCTTGGGTAATCAATCTGTCACAAGCTCGCTGATGAGTTTCGCCAATTTCTCGTCAATGCTTGCCTTGTTTTTTCAGCAGCAAGGTCGTCAAACGAACTCGAAGTGCCGGCGGTTTTCGGCTCATTAAGATAATTCTGTATCATATCAGTGTCTTGGGGCTCGACCTGCATTGTTGTTGACTAGTTTGTTCATCCGGGTGATTACACGCCTCTGTTCCGCCAACGTAATCTTCGAAGTGCTTCAACATATCATCTCGCATGTGAGACATCTTCTCGAACACCATGTCAGCTACAGACTCTAGCAACTAGTTTTTTAAAGGGGATAATGTACTTGTTTGATCGGTCGGGGACGGTTCTGTGCATTGGTGTTCATTTCTGTCCATGAATGCAACTCAATGGCCAGAAAATCGCGACATGCCCATTGCGCAAGCGTACGCGCAGCCAAATATGGCGTCGGGCATTAATATGAAATTATTAGTAACTGTTTAGAAGAAGTGCAATAGAAGTCTACCTATGAAATATTTTCAATTTGTTCTGTTCATGCGTTGCCTTTCACACCCAAATAGACACATAGGACTAAATCTGTAATATTGTTGTATAGTAAATACGAGGTCCAATCCGAACGTGAAACATGGAATACGATTGCTTACTAACCTTATAAAAATTTACAGAAAATCCCGCATTTCATGATATTAAAGCATCTTAAACAAGTTACTTAGCACCGCTTTTCCATTTGTGCCGTATACAATTAGAAGTTTGATTATTATACTACACATCAAGGCTTTCATTTGTTAAAATATGCATCGTCGGCCAGGTCCATTTTGTTCCTGAAGAAGCGATGTTTTACACTTTCAGACACAGTTACTTTGCGAATGTAATTGTGAAAGCCGAAACTCGAATTCCCTGTCTTTGAACGCAAAGTTTAAAGCTTTATACTTGGCGAAATCCATCGAGCAATACATCAAAATAACGCTCAGAAACAGCGCTTTCATATACAGTGCATTTTGCGACAAGGCGATGTTACTGATCAGCGTACAATGCGTTTGCATATTTACTTCCTGTCTCGTTACCATGTCAACAACTGCGACGAAACATCGTGAACACCGAATCGCGCAATATAGCGGGAAATTAGAATTCTACTCAAGACTTCTCTCCTTAGACAGTGACATGCAAATATAATGCTAATTTATGGCAAACGCCCTCAGTGTTTATTCTAATTCAAAATTTAAATGTGAAATAGTTGTTGATAGCAAGCATTGCCCAAATTTGATTAAAAAATCCGATGTAGATATCGAAGTCGAAGACGAACAAATTGCCTTTACTGTTCATATACCGTTCGAACAGCTTAGCAGTTGGTACAATATAAAGAAATCAACATTAGCTGACTATACATACATACAAATACTGAACGCATTTATTGGCAAACAGTACGCTCTACTAATTCAGGAGAACTGTGTAAGGATTGAAGAACGTCTGCGAGTAAACTGTACAAAGGTAGCAAAACAGCTTTATCGTATACATGGGGGAAGTCGGCAAAAGCTGTTTACAAAACGTAAGAGTGTTGCGGTATTTCGTAGTGAACTTAGTACTGTTGCCTTGGTAAATGATTTAGAAGACGAAGTTTCGAAACTTCAACGGGTAAATGAGTCGATTACTAGGGAAAATAATATATTAAGCATAAAATGTAAAGAGGCATCCACACTGGTGGATCGATTCCAAAAGAAGATCGTCAAGGCCACTGTTGACATTGAGAAATTGAAAACGGAGAATGGCAAATTGTACAATGCAATTGAGAAACTTACGGTACAAAAAAGATTTGAAAATAAGGGAATGAAATTTTTGGAAGTTGGGAAGCGTCAGCAAGAACGCAAGCTTCAAACGTTAGCTACTAGAACGGAGCAAGCGCTTTGGTTCATTGCATCTTTTGGGCTTCATTTGAAGAGTGTAAAATTGGTTGACGATTTGGGAAAAGAACATGGTTTATCAATTGCGTCAGAAAAGCAATCAAAATCCTTTAATGAACTTCCAAATCAAGAACAGATGGAAATCCAGCAGGTGTTGCACATTATGGACAAGTTTTGCATTGGGGAAGCAGCATACCACGAATTAACTTGTTGTCCAGGAGGAGAAGAACTTCCTAGGTCCTACCTGATTAAGCAATGCAAAGAGGATCTAAATAAGCTCTCTTGTATTGAAAGGACCCCTGGGGAAGCAAATGGGGCTGCTTTTAATTTCCAGGACGAATTATGCACTGTTATTGAAAAAATGGTAAGTTTTCAACTGTAATCCACAACTTTGCTCTATTTTGAATTAATATATTCAGGGCAATTAATCAAAACTGCATAGTCCAGACAAGAAGAGGGCATTGCAAACTCAGGCTGGCTATATAACTGCCTATAGTTTTAAGATAATGGTTAAGAAATTTTGTCATATGCCACATGTATTTTAATTCTCAGATGGAGGCAAATGAGAAACTAAGAGACACTGTAATAAAAGTAAAAATCAGTGGTGATGGGGCAAAGATGACTAGATTGACCAATTTTATAATCATCAGCTTTTCAATATTGAATGCCGAAGATACTGTGATGTCATCAAAAGGTATTATTTGCTGGACAATTTTGTCAACTTTGTCTTTAGTATATAATAGGCTACTGTTTTCCTTCTAATTATCATGTAGGGAATCATACAGTGGCTGTTGTTAAGGGTCATGAGGACTATGATCTTTTAAAGATATCATGTTCAAAGATTTTTAATGACATCAACAAGTTGGTAAGGGCAGGGAAAATTAAAATCAAGGATAAAGATGTACCTATTGAAATATTTGTTGGAGGTGATTACAAGGTAATATTTGCATAGATAACAATTTGCCACTGTGCTTGGGTACTGATCTGAGCACATGCAGTACCTCATTAAGCAAGCATATGAAAGAATACCTAATAACAGGACCATTCTTAAAAAGTTCATTGTACTATTTAGTTTAATGATGACAGCAGTTTTTCAACTCATTTTTATTTTTTATATCAATATTTTTTAAATCCATATTATATACATATACATAACATGTATATTTCTCTTTTAGTTTCTGTTGTTGATACTGGGTTTCAAAGGGGCCACCTCAGATTATGCTTGTATTTGGTGTAAAATACACAAATTGTTGAGGTATGTACAAATAAATGCGTGGTATTGGAACAGTAGGAAATTAGACTTAATAATATCTGTCTGCACTAATGCTTCTATGAATCAAAATGATAGTGTTTAAATACATCATTCTAATTCAAGTATCAATAAATAAATAGCTGTAAATTATTCAGATTCACAAAAGCATTATAATCTGATTTTAGATGGGACATGTCTAAACCAATGGATTTCTGGGAAAATCATGACTGTCGCTCACTCAAGGACATACAAGACTGTGCCGTAAAGAATCGGTTTTCATGCCAACACAAGCCATTACTTGAAGTGAAACTTGAAAATGTAGTATTAGATGAGCTACATTTAATGCTTCGCATTACAGGTGAGTATGATTTGTTCAATCAATTAAGCGCCAGCAAATAATAAAGTTAAGTGGAGTGCACCAAGGTGCATTGCAACTCAACTGGTTACCTATAGACACAGGCATTTAGGCCAGTTGACCCATGAATGGCCAGTTTACACTCCTTTGCAAGTAAAATCATGTAGTAATTAAATTAGAACACATATAGTTACAAATTACAATTAATGCACACATATATAATAGTTACAAATTACAATGCAAAGACACATAGGCCAGCTATACACAGCCATCCGAGTCAGAAGCACAGGGATCAGTGTCTGCACGGCTCGCTTCCATTTCTTCCAGAGACCACTTGGTCTTCTTTTTGCCGGAACTGGGCTTGCGCTTCCTTTTATTTTTATTTTTACTCTTTTTTTTTGTTGGTTCATTTGTTGCAACTCTTTCTCCAACTTTCACTTAGCCTTCGTCGTTCTTGGCCCTTGAGCAACAGGGCGCGCAAAGGAATCGACTTGCTGTGGCAATGGCTGCTCTTTGACTTTGTCTAAAGTTTGCCATTAATAAAGTTATAATCGAGATATGCGGTTTTGGAACTAGATGCCAATATGCACGAATCTACATACCTTCACCTTGGTCACGTTTATCGTGCATATTAGATATAATCACATTTTACTTGATTATTAAATTTTTTTAGATATCTTGACAAAGAGTTTAGTTAATGAAGCTCTTGAATGGGACTTTAAAGACAACAGCAATAAACCACCAAAGAATAGAACAAGTAAACATCTGTCAGACCTTGTTGAGTGTATCCAGTCGTGTGGCGTGTCTTTCAATGTTTGGGAGAAAAGGAATGCTGATGGAAAGGGAAGTGATGTACACGACTTTACCAGCCTTATGGGATCGGACAAGAAACGGCTCATGAGAGATCTCCCAGATAAATTATGTACAGTAACTAAACCAGCCCACAGCGAGTCAGTCACTAAGATCTGGAAGGTAATATCCCAATGCACATCGATTTTAAATACGCGAGCAGCAAAAGTAAAACACCTGACCAACTCCTTTAATTTTAGGACTTTAATACGATTTATCAAATGCTGAATGAGCATGATCCCACACCTGAAAGAATTAATGAGTTCTTTGAACGTGTAAGTGGCACCACTAAGACTAAGTACTCCAACATGTATTTATAGCGCTTAACTACTAGTATAACAAGAAATACCTTTTAAGCTGTATCAGACTGAAATTGACAATCCAGTCCATTGTTTTATTCACTTAGGCTAAAGCATGGGTAAATCTATTTGTTTCGCTTGGCGGGGAAGTCAACGGGTTTGGCAAACAGCAAGTTACTCCTTACATGCACTGTCTGGTATACCACGTCCCAAACTTCATGCAGAGACACAACGGCATAAAAAAGTTTACGGGACAAGGTAATATCAGAGTATAAGTAAGAATTGTACATGCGTATGCTGATAAGCACTTACAACAGTAAATTTTGTACTATATATTTTTCTTTACATATCCAGGAGTGGAAAAGAATAATGACGATGTGAGAAAATTTCATCTGACAAAGTCAAACAAGAGGGATGCTCCGAAAGATATCCTACTTGTTACTAAACGACTGCAGATAACTGGCCAACATGAGCGCATGCATAGACCGTACAGCAAGTCAAACGCTGAGTACTGGTCGACTGAAATTAAAGAAAGCAGAAGAAAAAGAAGAAAGCTGTCACCTGTCCCGAATGCTGAAATACCAGAGAGCACTTCCAAAAGCGTCATTGATATCGAAAATCTTTCCGTTGTTGAAATTAAGGAGAAACTGAAGGAATTAGGAGTGCAAACACGAGTACGAAAACTGGAGAAATTACAGGATATTTTGAAGCAAGCACTCCACAAAAACTAAATTAAGTTCTAAAGTGAAGCTGAAATATTCATCATGTTATTATAAGTTATTATTATTCTGTTAATTATGTATGGTACTGAACCTACAATAATTTTTTTCATTACAAGGTACCCGAGCAAAGGAAACACTTATTTTTTCAATTGGAAACCTTTTTCCTGGTACAATTTTCTTTCCATCGAAGACATACTTCTTTGATGACCAACCAATTATGGGTTTGATCTTCATGGGAAAATCAACTTTCTTCCCCTCCCCATGTTGATTAAAATAATACCACCAGTCAGGAGGTAGCATTGGAAGGCGACTAAAATCACTCTTATTATAAAGAACATGTCCCCTATGTTCTGATGGTGTTCCTTTCCCTTGGGTGATGTATCGCCAACAATCAAGCTCAAGGTCAATGTATCCACTACCCATTGCCTTTGATTTTAATAGGTGCAGAATACCACAAGCAAATGCTCTAGCAGTTGATTCTAGTCTGCTGGAAGATGGTTTTGGCGGACGATCATAACTCCTTAAAAAAATATAACAGAATAAATTAGCTCACATATATATCATGAGAAGTAGATTTTTCAGAAGCATGTTGAGTTGAGTTGCACCAATGCATCAATGCAATCTAAAAAATATAACATAATAAATTAGTTCACATATATATCATGAGAAGTAGATTTTTCAGAAGCATGTTGAGTTGAGTTGCACCAATGCATCAATGCAACCTTCTTTAATATTTACTCAGATTTTACTTGTATGGCATAATGGTTTAATCCATTTAGTCACATTGCAGCTCATGATGCACCCTACTTATAGCATTTTACTCTGTTGAATGCCTGAGTATTTTACTATGTCTAATGCCAGACAATTTTACCTAGCAAGGGGAAAGCGTTGGTAATTGGTTAAGTTGCATGTCTGCATGCTAATGTGTGTAGTTTATCCATTAAGTTAAAATGCGCCCAGATGCTCCTTACCTTAGTATTTTACCCTGTCTAATGCCAGAGTATTTCATTTCATTCTAACACTAGACAATTTTACTAATCAAGGATGAAGAGCTAGTGTCAGTGTTATATTTACCTTAATAAGCTCTCAGGTAAATGAGCAGAAGGCTCCCAAGTACACGCATCTAGAGGCCATCCAGCCCACTTAATAAGATATGAATAGTCCTAATATAATAAAATCAACAATAATAATCAGGGACTGGTATATCACATATTATTTAATGAATTAAAATATACAACCTTCAGTACATACAGCAGGCCAGATTGTAAGTAGAAATTCTGAGATTGTATTATTTAAATTTGTATTTTGTATAGTTTATAGTTGTAGTGTATAGTCTATAGTTCTAGTGCATAGTCTATAGTTGTAGTGTACGAATTCAGGCTTTGTTAAATAGTTTGTTTTGCTAGTTCGGACTAGTTCGGTTTAATACTTACGGGTTTTTCTTTCTTTCTGCCAATTATTCTTTCCAACTCATATGTCTTTCCCTTCTTCTTTCGGGGCGCAGAATTATCGTACAAAACAACAGAGCTAAAGTTGTCTAATGGACGACTTGCGCTTTAGACTAATTTTTGATCGAAGTAACTAGAAGAAAACATATCATCACAGCTAGAAAGATCTTACTTAAATTAGTGCAAATGCAAAGTTTGGCTGCGAAATTTTGTAAAATACGGAAAATATAGCCATGCGAAGTTGGCAAATTTTGTATACTTTTGTATTACGTGCGGAAATGTGTAACTAAATTAGTTACACACTTTTGGCGGTAATACAAAAGTATACAAAATTCGTCAACTTCGCATGGCTATATTTTCCGTAATATACAACAATTCGCAGCCAAACTTGGCAGTTTTACTAATCTTAGTAAGCTCTTTCAGAAAATGTCCTTTTTATCGCCGAGGTAAGAAATTAGTGTAAAGCGCAAGTCGTCCATTGCGCGTAGTCAACACGCGTAGCCTGACGCTTGGTCGCCGCCATTTTCAAATTTACCGCGGTTAACCGCTGACCAAGAATTGGCTCAATGTCGCGAATTTCTGGCCATAGTAAATTTTTGCGAGAACTTAGACTAAATAATCAGTTACACATGATGTGCAGTGATCAGCAGAGGAAAACTATAACTTTCTTCCATTAAATTCAGTGGCGTAGCCAACCTGAAAATTTAGTTCGACCTCGGTCTGACCTCGGTTCAACCGCGATTATATCTAAGTTTGACCTAGGTTAACGCGTTTTTAGTCAGGTTATTTCTGGACAGTACTGTAAGTGCTGTTAATTTTTCACATTTCCGACCATGTCCATAGGAAGTATGAAACTTTGTTTTGATAACGCTATCACAGCAAAAGAGCGCAATAGTCTAGACAAATGACAATAAGAACCGAGGCACAAGGCAGTATCACCTCATAGGATTCTGACATAACCACAAGCGATGTCTATCAAAATGGGGTTTAAATTACTCTTTCATATCCCCTCTATAGGGATGAAAGAGTAGATCTTAGCTTCCATGCAGCCCAGATTTCGCGTAGAATTGCACGCGGGTTAAATTTCGAAGTTAAAAATCAGCAAAATATCATACACGACTGAAAACTCTGAGCCTGCGGTTTATCAGCATGTAACAATGTTGTGCTGCCATTATTGTTCACACTTGTCAACAACATTGAACAATATTGTTGAAAATGAATCGGGTGTAACAATATTGTTCAATGTTGATAACAAGTCTGAACAATGTGTGCAGCACAACATTGCTCCATCCTGTTCATATCAATATTGCGTCAACCTGATCGTTTTTAGGCGTTAAAAGGAAGCCCGTCAGCAGAGCATGAAATTAAAGCACTACTTCAAGTAGTTAGGATGGAAAAGGGATTCCGCACTATATATAAAAAGTCGGCAGTGTTTTCGTTTGCAGATGGTCTCCGCTTATTGTTTAACTTTTATTTTGACAGTTCGCAGTGAGCGATCTCGCCTGTATAATGCGATAAATTTGCCATGGAACACAAACTTCGACATAAAGAGAAACATTTCTTAGAACGATTAAGCTTTGCAGCACCTTGAGCGCGGTATTCGCGGAAATCAATTGCAAGTCTATCGCCTGCATGGAAAGACCTAAAGAAAAAAACTGAAAATCATGCTGGATTGTATTCGACTGAAAATACCGGCATAGAAACGCTATGAGAAGATTGAGATATCCAACTCAATGAGTTTGAATCTAAGTGAACTTTTGGAATACAGGCGTAAATGTTTTTAAATAATTAAATTATATATTGTATTTTTGCAGCCGCTGTCATCACTCTGTTCTCTTAAATCGCAATATTCTGATTATATAGCCAACTTTGAGCCAGTTTTAATAATAACAAGACGCCGTTCTGGCGTTAACTCCGGCGCACGTGCCAGTCTTCAATATAGAGCTTCTGAACATAAACAATACAGTTCGCGTATTGTTTCGCATACATATTCGCATTTAGATGCCTTGCGAACCTAAATGTTCGATCGCAAAATTCAGAAGCACATCGCAGTATAGAAGTTCAATTGTTCAAAAATGTAAATAAACCGCATGATACATTCGCTTCGTCTTACACTTTGCCTTTGGAATTCGCGCTTATATATAGTTGTATTAAATCTTCGATCCTGTGCAAACTACGCGACGTGTCAACGCGCCCATACACGACCACATCATCTTGTTAAACGGCGAAATAGCAGCGATATTATTAAAATAGGACCGAGTCTACATGTATTAAATATATTCTTACCCCAATTCAATCTAAACTTAATCGAACAGCATAAAAAGAACGGTTTATTTGTTCCTCTTGGAGGAATTGCCATATCATGCGAGCGAAATCGAATCGCGCATTGGAAAATTAGCCAAAGCTGTGCACCACAACTCTTGGGAGATAAGACTGGGACGTAGATAAATACGATCACATACACTATTCAAATACTAGTATATTTCGCGCCATTACAGACTTGCGACGACGAAAAATAATAAAAAAAAAATAAAAAAAAAAAAAACAAAAACAAAACAAAACCGGGGCGAATTTTCAACTCCGTCGCTGACGCCGGAGTAATTACAAATTTTGTATCGTTGTTCACTGTAGATATCTATTTTGGATTGGGTATAATAGTGGAAGACTGGTAATGCGAAGACACTTGGCTACCAAGAACGAAAAACAAATATATGGTTACAACAGACATAATTATTACGATCTGGCTCTGGATTACAACAGGAAGCGTGTGTACGCGTACGAGGGATGGGGAACAGATAACGTCATAATTGAAATGGATTACGATGGCCTTAACAGCAATCAGACAACTAATTATGGTTCAGCTGCTCGTAGCGGATGGATGTCAGTGGACGTTGTTGGAGATTTTCTTTACTGGAAAGAAAGAAGTTCACCCATTGTCATAAAAATGAATCTCACCAGCAGAAATATATCTCGTTATATTCCGTTACCAAAAGGCTTCGACGCGAGAAAGCTTCTCGTCGTAGACAAAGATCGACAACCTGAAAGTAAGTTCGTACATTTTAGTTAAGCTTAACTTCTTGAATTCGCTTTTCGGTAAGGAAACTACCAAACAGACATTAGAATGAATATTTTGTCGAAAAATAAATTTTCTCGCTCTCACACACGCAGCCTTTTGTGGTTTCATATATAGCTTTTATGAAATGAAAATCCCTCAATTTATTTTAGTTTTTGTTTATATACACGGATATCCGACAATTTGGACTTATTATGATAAATCTGAGCCATATCTGCTTGTCTGGCAAAGCATCTGACAATGCCACCTCGTACCCGGGGCTTTATTACCTACAATCCACGGCCCACGCAGCGTGGGCTCCAATGCCAAAACACAACATCGAATGCCGAAATATGCCTATCAATACAATGGATGAAAAATACGATAATGTATAAGGGAACTATACTAAACACTGGCGTTTTCAGAAAATGCGCAAAATTTCATGAAAATATAAGATGTTTCTATTTTCTCAATAGCAACATGCATCACAAAACTTCACGTCACTAACA